TGACAGACACATCTTGTGAATGTTGCAAGCAGGAAGGGAGGGAGGGAGGGAGAGAAGGCAATTGCTTCTTGTTCGTTTTACTTTGCCTGGAGCTTTGTCTTCGGCCTTGCCAAGCCGCGAAAACTGCTCGAAGCCACCCAGCTGTGTCTCTGATGGCGGAGGAGCTTGCGCCACCGCATTGCCGTGAAAGGCCGCAATGGATTGATGACTTGTTCAAGCTGTGCAAAGCCGAGTTTTGCAGGAAGTCGGGGGCGGAAGCTGGAATAGCGGAGGCCAGAAAGCACAGCACGAACTTCACTGCAGCGTTGCCGCTCTGCCTGCTTGACATGGAGCTGATGCCGATCCCAGGCGTGTACCCTCTAAAGGGGGCGGTGGTGCAGGAGATGCAGCAGTACTACGGGGAGAGGGCAAACCAGGTCTTTCAGTTCCCTCCTCCGGGAGCTCTGCTCCAAGTGACAGTTTTCAAGCTGCCAATCGAGGAAGCGGACGTGGGCAAGTTGCAGAGAGCAAACCTCGACCTGCTTTTCCTGGCCTGGCTTATGCGCTTTAACCTAGCCATCCAGGAGAAGGACACTAAGACAATGGCTTATTTCCGGAAGGCATCCCTCAATGTCTTGATGGACGTTCGCCTGGTCCCCTCCGAATCCGAAAAGCTTGCCCAAGCTTATCAATTTCGAGAAGACGAGGAAAAGCAAGCCCACATCGCTGGACACTCTCTGCTCAGTCGAGCCAGAGAGCTCAACAGCATTCAGGAGTGCCACGTTGTTCTTGATTTGTGGTAGGGAAGTGAGTACAACAGTATACCTCGAACGAATAATAACTCAGTCAGGTTATCCTTTTTGTGCTACTGACACGACAGTGTTGGAACTTTCGGTAGTCAAGCTTCCGGCAAGGAGCACCTGTTGCGAGCGAAGCCTGGGGCAGGTGCTGCTACTGGGCTGGTGGAGTACACGCAGCAGCACAAGATTGTCTTTGCCACCAGCGACACGACCATGAATGTGGCAAATGTCCGGCTGCATTTGCGCGTCTTGCGTCGCTTGTCCATGGCAGTGGCAGATCCTGGCAATCCTGCTTACAAGGACTCTGCCCTGTTCTTCTTTGACCGAAACGAGGAAATTTTCGGAAGGAAAGGCCTGCAAACGATCCTGCAAGAGTCTACGCGTGCCTTTGATAGCTTTCAGAGTGCATTGCAAAGCCTGGACGAGCTGCGTATGGCATCGGAAAACCTTCACATCCTTCTCCTGCGGGCTGCAACATCAAGATGTCGGGCCGTGGAATCGGAGAACTGGCCCGAGGGCTAGTGCTCTACAGCAAAGTGCCGCAAGCGTTAATCCCCCGCTTCCCCAGATACACTGACTTCTTGAAGGACTTCGAGAGCTTGAGGGTGTTCCATGCGAAGTTTCCCACGGGCCTGACGGTGGCTCAGCTGCCATATGTGAGCTAGCTAACTAGTCTTCGGGGTTTGAGGTTCCGCTGCTGGAGTGGTTCTGGCTTTTGCGTACGGCTTTGCTCGTTCCCACACCCTTGAGGCTGACGGGGTGCAAGTGACCGCGACAGAGTCTTACCCCTTGTTTGCGCAAGAGTCCCTGGACAAGCTGCTGCATGAAATTCTCATCCCGATGTATTCCTACAAGAAGCATTCTGGGCTCCTGGGGGGAGGAAGCCCTCTGGGTGTGCCTTTTGTGAAGAACCTGCTCGCCGAGCTGGAGAACACGTACGCGCAGGAGCAGGCCCGCGAGAGCATGTCGGCAGTCAGCAGTTCGGGCGGAAGCGGCGTGCCTGATTCTGAAAGTACATCCTTGGAGCCTGTGACGGAAGAGGAAGCAGCAGCTTTGAAAAAGGAGTTCGCCGCAAAGCAGCAGCATCTCCTGATGGAGATGAGCACTGCCTACCTTTCCACCAACGTGCTCCTGCTGTCGTGGTCGGATCCCAATCTGGAGGCGACCTTGTGCAGCCACCCTTTGATGAAGGACGGCGCGGCAAAGCTGTTTTCTTGGATGGCGGGCCTAGATGCAACCAAAGATCCGCCTGGGAAGATGAGCATCTACCGCATGAAAGCTTCCGCCGACGAGGCGCGCATGGCCAGCAGCGTGGACCTCACCAGCAAGCTCTTGCGCGAGCCTGACTCCGCCGTCTTTCTGAGCGGCCGCAACCAGTTGCTACACAAGGACTTGAAGAAGGCGATCCAGACTTTGAAGCCGAAAGTGGGTATGAAGGAGATGACGCTTGTGCCAGACGAAGCGGAGCTACTCAAGGCACTGCATGGAGAAGGGCGCAATGCTTATGGCAGCATCGACGCGTCTGAGCAGTACATCCATGTGGTGAAGACCAACAAGCTCTGGAAAGAAAGGCGGCCGACTCAGAGAAGATTTGTGCCGGGCAACACAGCCTTCAGGAATATGTCCGGCCTGCCTATCCTCGAAAAGGCTGCCATGGTCAAGGTTCCGGCCAAGGAGAGGGAGAACATTTTCCGCGGTGTGGTCGGCACAGACAAGTGGAACCCAGGCACCAAGAAGGCTTCGACAGCCCCAGCTCCAGCTGCGGCTGCTGCAGCTCCGCCTGCTGCGGCTGCGGAGGACGAAGAGGAAGAGGAGGAAGAGGATGCTGCGGCGAACCCCTCGGATGGCCTGATGGATTCGGAAGGCAATGTGACCTTGTTTTTCCTGGAGCAGCGCCCCAAGGCAGGCTAGCGCAAAGTTATGCTCGCGCGTCACTTTTTGTGGAGGGTTCAGGGGTCAGTGTTTTACATTAGGTTTAGGGTTTATATAGAGTTTAGGTGACGCATTTGAAGTTTTGTTCTGAAAGGTGTGCGCGCAGCTTCTGTGGGAAAACGGGGCCAGGGTCTTGGTGGACTTCAGTCCTGGGGCAGGCATGCTCGGCAAGACCGCCTTGTCCCTCGGCATCAAGGTCGTTTGCGTCGCATTGAACAACGCTCACAAAAGCTGCCTCAACAGGCTTTTGCACAGCTACATCAGAGGCAATGTTGAGGCCGACGTGCCTGGATTCGTTCCCGCAGACAAGGCTTCCAAAATTGACGAGCTCAAGCCTAAGCGTCTGGCTGTGTACGAGAAGCAGAGTGGACGGGAAGGCCAACCACCACTGCCGGGGGCAGGCCGGCAAAACTTTGAGAAAAACGTTCTCTCTGCCTTGGATGCCTTACAGAGCGGTGCTCCGCCTGCCAAAAAGCAGAAGGTTGCAGTTCCGAAGGCGAAGGATCCGCCCCCGCAGCAGGTCGTGCCGAAATCCGAGCAGCCAAAAGCGCCGCCCAAGGCCAAGGCAACGCCGAAAGCAGGTCCGTCGGAAAGTGTTGCGGATCTCCTGGCGGCATGGGGCGCCGGTAAGTAGTGGCTTGAAGCAGCATGGTGCTGCTTGGATGGGTGCGATTTTGACTCGAGGGTAACTTCAGCCAGTCAGTTTCTCGAGCAAGAAAGCCGTTCTGGGCGACTGTCTAATATACACTAAGCTTGTGACATTATTCAGAGTCGCAGCATCCTTCCGAATTTTTCAATGTTGGCGGCGTGGCGCAGACGCATGTGGAAAGCATGGTCTCTGATTGAGATCTGCGTGTATCCGTATGTGTGTCCCATGCATGTGATTTCAGCACTAAGCTCCCAGCGCGAAGCAGCTTGGGCTTTTCTGGATGGGAGCGGTTTTGACTCCAGGGAAAGTAAAGCAAATCAGGTTTTCCAGGGAGACAGCCTTCCGGGCGACGTAGGCCGAGTCCGTGCCATTGCAATACACAGTACCTTGCTAGTGTTACAGACAAGATTCCATCCAGAGTCTCAATTGCTGCGGAGTAGCGCAGATGCAGAAGTGGAAAGCACGGTATCTAGTTGAGATCCGTCCATGTCCCCTGCAAGTGTTTTCAGCATAAACCTCCCAGCATCTTTGGTTGAGCGTGAGCAAGCAAAACTTGCAAGTGTGATTTTTTCTCTGCCGTGTGACGGCGCATGCGCAGATGATGGATGGTTGAATTGGTTCACGGACATAAGCTTGGAAGTGCTCGCTGTCTGTTTCTATCCTGACTTTGTTTCGCGCAGCATTTTGAGCGCAACGAGCACCAGTGCAATTGCGGTAGCAGTTGGGGCTCCTCGAACCTTGCTCTGGAGGCTGGACCTTTGCCACGCTAGATAGGGCACGGTTTGTGAGTTGGGTTTAAACGCCACATGCGTGTTCAGGTCACATGATGGCTGCGAATGTCCTCAAGATCGCGCTTTTTGCTGCAGGGGTTGGGGCTGCTGCTGCTACAAATGCGGTCGAATTCCCAGATTACGAGGAAGAGACGCTGAAGGAGCGTGGCGCGGCATGGAGGCAATTGAAATGCGGTTGGTAATGCTGTGTCCATGATTCGATCACTCTTGTACTCAAAATTCTGCCCCTGAGGTATCCCCAAGTGTTGCACGGTGACTGGGCCAACCCGGGTTCTGGCTTGCCAAGTCCGGACCTCCGACAGTACGCTTGGAATGTACCAGCAGAGATCCTGAAGATGATTCCCGTGAGCGTCAAGGAAATCCTGCAATGCGAGCGCACCAGTCTTGTGGTGCTGCGGAATATCCATGTGGCAGACTTCTTTGCTGGAAAGTCGCGTATTGCGCGATGGAGCGAACTGTTGGGACTTACAACGGTGGCAATTGACCGGGATCACAGCAGCCATCTTGATTTCTGTTCGGACGAAGGCTTGGCAACGGCAATCTGCACGCTGCTGAGAGTTCGCGAAGGCGGGCTCTGCTTTATGGGCCCGCAATGCAGCTCATGGGTGTGGCTTTCTCGTTCCGTAACGAAGCGATCTGCGGCAGATCCGGACGGCGATGTGAACCTGGCAACGGTCAGAGAAGGGAATCACTTGAACAAAGTGGTCGCTCTGCTGGTAACCATTGCTGGTCTTGCAGGCATCTCCTGGGGTGATTGAGCAACCGGGCTCGTCTTTGTTCTTTCACACGCAGATCATGCGCTCTGTCATCTCCGAGGTCAACCCGTTCCAGAGGTGGCTTTGGTTGAGGAAGTGGGGCCACTTTTCGAAGAAGAGCACAGTGCTCGTTGGCGTGGCTGGTTTTCTATCCAACATGGGCAAGGAGTTGAGCAAGCAAGCGAAGAA